TTATCGAATGCTAACATGTTATTGTGTCTTGAATTTAAGTGGATCAGAAGTAACATGTAACAAGTAACAGTAACATTAATATTCCATCAACTCTTTACTGGTTGGTCTATCCATGTCTACAAAATAAAAATGATAAAATTTAAAAAAAAGCACAGAACCATTCTTAATTTCAGGCTAGAGCTGTGGAAATCTAGACTTCCCAATGATTGCAGACTTGAGTTGGTCTCATTTGTTACTTCATTCTCATGGGTCTACATCACAGCTCATACCACACAATAACAAGACCAGTTTGCCGCCCGCCGGAGCTCCTGGATTTTGGTTATATCATCTAACATGGCCAAATCTGCGCTTAAGTAAACAAGAACCTAATCAGTGAGGGGTCCTAACAAGGTCACAGGTCAGGCGTACACTCGTCACTTGTCTGATACTGTCAAGAGTAAGATCTTCCGGACGACCACAGCACTAGGGGGATGTGGATTGTTGATGAGGTACTACGTGTTTGGAACTTGGAGTTGTACACTAAGCATTCATAGAGAAAAGCGGACGGACTGGTGATTTCAATTCACGACGTACATGTATCTGGTTGAATTTCTACGACAGATATAACTTGGTTACCGCTTCCTAACTGTAACATTAACTGAACTTTACGCCTTTTAAACACATTTGTGATGGGGCGACAATGCGACAACAAGACATATTTTGACCTTGAAAAAGATAAAGTGTAAAAATGCGCTTTTGCAGCTTCAGATTACATAGCTCTTCAAGAAGCATTATCAATAATGGGATGGGTGATGAGTTCAACTGCATGCCGAGTCTATACGCTATAATTAACAATAATGCTCTTAGTGAATACATTTTGTCAAATGTATGACATGTATTAGCTGTAGGAACATAGTGTTTCTACTCGTCCATGTTTTTGACGGAAGATATGATTGACATGCTCGGTAATAGTGAGGACGGGCGTCATTGTGTGTTTCCGTGCTTTGTTCAGGTGAACAGTTGACTTGTCCTTACATGTGTAAGTGACGGGTACCACCTATATGGCAAAACACGCTCACCATTTCGTGAACACCCGTTGGATGGCCTGAACCACTTCTGATTTTTATCCCACATCAGTATGATGCGCCGTGATATAACTGAAACACTGTTCAAAGTAGTGTTTAATGCGATCACCGTAGTGTGTTACTGCAACTGTCCAAATTTTGTGTAGTGATGTTATGTAATATGTAAAAGAAAACATATTCAATTATCCAATTGAATTGATTAGAATATACTTGCATCAGTGTATTTTATTAACGCCCCAAACCGTATTTGTTAAACAAATATAACAACAGATCATATACACGCATGGTGCCTTGACTCACTGTTAGCTTTAATAGGCCATCCCGGAATAAAAAAGTTCCCCCAAAAGCGAGGAACATCTGTTTTAGTTTGTTTACAAGAAACGTATTCCAAAAAAATATCGTCATTCGATGAGAAAGGTCTGTAAAGAACTACCTCAGTAGGTCAGTCACAATGACAGAACGTCGTAATACATTTAAATCAAATACAAGACGTCAAAATTGCCGACACGATAAACGTGACGGGAGATATTTCCAAAGTTGTTAATAAACCTGTGGCTGTTTCAAGCCTTTGTCATCACTGATCAGTTGGCCGATCATTGAAAGGTGATTGTGAAGATGCGTCAAATAGATACAAAGGTAAATTCATAGATTGCTTTAGATTGTCACAACGATAGTTTGGATGTTGGGTTTTTTTTCGGGTTTTTTTTCTTCTCTATGATGGGTTGTAGCTAGGGTATCCTTGAATGGGCATGCAATCAAACTCTCTAACTTTTTCAAAGTTCAAAATTAAACAACGCTTCTGTAAGAATTCGTGCTTGGGAATTCCCAGGGTTTCCCCGAGGAATGTGGAAGTGGTCAGTGTTTACGTCATTTCAAGAAAACAGTCACGTGAAAAAAGTCATGTGACCGACCTCTCGTCCTTTGGAAAAGCAGTATATTGTGTAAACTTCACATTAAAAATTAGTTACTGTTATAACCAAATACAATACAATACGCGGGACGCTCACCATTAATCACAGACGTAAGACTCGCAAATAATAGTTGGATAATTATGAAGCACAATAAAAATGGCGAGCAACATCAGCAAAAACCTTATTGATACAATGTGTATGAATTAATAAACGAATATATAAAAGGAACATGGGGGAATTTTGTTCTGAGTTTATTGACGTGTTTATTTTATGCTAACTACATCACATTCAGAAGAGTGAGTAGTGAGTGAGTGAGTGAGTGAGTGAGTATGGTTTTACGCCGCTTTTAGCAATATTCCAGCAATATCACGACGGGGGACACCAGTCCATTGAATTGAAACATATACTGGCGTTATACGTTTCTGAATACCACCTTCATATAAGAAGTACGGGTAAAATGGGATTTAACCCTCGTGGCGCCTGGCTTTACATACCGCTCAGTACCACACCGTGATGACGTCGCTGTTTCAAAAACGTCTACATTGTATCAAAAGTGTTACAACGTTCTTAGTTCTTCACACAGTGTAACCAAATTGTATAACATTCGTACTACCATTCGCAAGTGCAAGGAGATTCAAACAAAATCGTTGAACCGTTTCATCGGCAGCAAATCTATTCAACAAACCTATTTTAAATCACTCGTAACTATGGCGCCATATGTCATACAATCATTGCTTCGTTGTGCAATCGCACAGACCGCTTTTTTATACTTCGGGTGTTATGATGTGTTGTTAATGGCTTACATCTAACTTATAGAAAGCTTGAAACGAGATGTAATTTGACAAGTGTAATACTTGAATCAAGAAGCGTAGAGTAGACTATATTTAGTACAAGGAAACCATAATTTGCACAGGTGAAGAAGGAAATATTATTGTTTTTACGGTACTATTATAAGAAATATCTAGATTAGGGGAAAGAGAAAATTGTGAAAATATGAAGTACTTCGATTAAAGTAGTGTTCAATGTAAATATCGTTCATGTACTAAAACATGTATTTATGGATAACAACTTCTTTAATTACCATTAAATTTATCCATAAATTGTGTCTACTTTGTCATCCGTCAACTTCTGAGTAATGTCTATCAAATAATACATCATGAGTGTAGGTCAATGAAAGTAATGGAATTATTTGTCATAAAAGGAAAAATATATTCTTGGTATTGAACTTCGAAAATATAGCTAGCAAAATCATTAATATAAATGTTTTTAAGTTATCATGTCTTTTCTCATTTCTTTTGAACAAGCTGACATACAGCTTTGGTGGAACATGTACAACTTAAATTTGTGAAAAAAAGAACCACAAGAATGCATTTAGTCTGCTCTTAGACAAGATCTTTTTAACAAATTATATTTCTTACTAAGGATACAAAACAAAGTAATTATTAAAAATTACTTAAGTAAATCACAGGTCACTTGTCACTGATCAAAACTTTTGATAATTTAGATAATGCAGGGGGGAAAAACATAATGCAAACTAATTCAAAACATCAAAACGAAATAACATTTACACTGGAAACATTTTGTCCTTCAGAAATCGATCTTTTATATAATGTGTGTAGATTATTCGAGATTAAAAAAATTGAGGCTAAAATTTTAAAAAGGCTGTGTAATATGCGAACAAGCCCAGCAAATCACTTCGTCATTCAATGTTTACGTGTTGATCATGAACGTCCAGCCAATAAATATACACTATACTACCTTAATATTGACGACCATAGCTAATTTCCATATCTTAAAATTGAATTTTTCTGCAAATCAGCATCACAAACAGAACGGCAAGCTTCACTGTCGTTTCGTCTCCAGCTCCGAGCTAAATCGCTATGACACACAGTTGAAAACAATATGCAATACTTGACTAAAAAACCTTCGTTGCGGACTGAACGTTAGTAGTCTTACGCAAAAACCTGAACAGTGGGGAAAAGTACATCTTTATGACAAGTATGGTAATTTCTTTTTCAAATTTGCTGTCTGATATCATAATAGTTACGTGTATGTGACATGGGTGCATAATCAAAATTTACCGTCATTCGCTTGGAGTTCAAACATGGAAGAAAAGGTCGAGATGTGCGGTAACCACTTTACTAATCTCACTATATTTCGCAATCTGTATAGTAGCACCCTATAAAACATGAGTTACACGATGTTAACGGTTAGCTGATTGGGGTGTTTATGATTATAATTTTTATTTTGAGAACTCAATGTTTTACATCTTAATTTACAGTGACCATATATGAACCCGTGGCACCATGAGGGTGTGCAAAATGAGGGACTATGTATGGTCCCCTGGCCTCAAGAGGGTTAACGTCGCGTCCAAGATTTTTCACGAATATAGAGACGTGTCTGTGTGTGTGCGTGCGTGCGTGCGTGCGTGCGTACGTGCGTGCGTGCTTGTGTGGCTGCAACTAATGCCGATTTAATAGCGTTAGCCCACACCATGCAGCGTTTCACATGAACACCCAATTCAGACACAGTATACTGACTCCGCGCCCTTCAGTCCTTGTTTTAACATGTAAATGCCAAGCGCCAGGCAGGGTAACAACAAATACCATCTTTGAACGTGTTTGGTGTGATGCAGCTGGGGATCGAACCCCCGACCGTCCGCTCTCCGGGAGGACACTCTACCACTAGACCACGAAGGCGGTCTCTTAATACAGGAGCAGTTTTGTTTTTGTTTTTGTTTTGTTTAAGGCCAGCACTGTTCTAGCTATATGAAGGCGGTCTGTATATCGGGGCACAAGAGCAGTTAGAAAAATACCGTCCATGATCTGTGACGGGACTATACGTATTTTACAACGACACCAGTTAACGCCGCACTGTACCCGATCGTTAGCTCTAATTGTTTTATCTGGTGGACTGACAATGTACTCACTGACGATCGGGCACAATACTATCATTCATTGCTCAGTTAAGTGTATAAAGATCATTCCTTATCGCACATTATTTGTAACAAGCGTATTCCACCAACCTTTAGTATATCCTCTTGGATCAGTTTTTTTGGGCTGTATAAACAAAAACAACACAAAAAGTCATCCTGGAAACGTCTTTTTTCAAGTATAATTTTATGTCAATATTAATATTACCGATACAACCACAAACGACACATTGAACATTTGTAGCGTGACTACCATTTCGTACACAATTTGCTGCATTTTAAACAATAACATTTAACTTCCCGGTTAAGGGAAGTTATCACATATTTCGGATAAATCAATTATGTGTTTAACTTACACGTTTGGATTTTGGCTGTGTCTGTACCCCTCCAGCACGTTTTTCCCCTGACATAAGTGTGCATACAAATGGCTAAGGTATTCTTCCAATTTTAGACTTCACTGTCATTTGAGCGAGTGCGGTAAACTGACGTTGAAGCGGACACGCAAGGCCTGCGATTTGTAATCTCGTTACGTATATTTATAACAACGAGGCTCAACTACAGCCAATCGGCTCGTGGTTGTTAACTCGCATGGGACTGCAAACTTCACGCTATCTACAGGGTAAGCAATATTCATCACATGCGATTATTTCACCATGAAGTCGTCAGTTATACACAACCTTTGTGTACAAATATGTTACTAAAGTTATATTTGGGGTTACGCTTTCTTGGTAAAGTGACAGCCTCCGTGTACTTGTGGTAGAGCGTCCGCCCGGAAAGCGGAAGGTCCGTGGTTCGATCCCCGGCTGCGTCATACTAATAGACGTTATAAGATGGTACTTGTTGTCACTATGTCGTGCGCTCGGCATTAATGGGCTGGAACAAGGACTGGTCGGCTCGGGGTCAGTATACTGTGTCTAAGTGGGGTATCCATGTTAAACTGCGACATGGTATCTCAGTGGGCCTGGACTGGGCATTAGTCCGGACTGGTACAACTAGCTACATACACACATGCATGCTTATCGCTATATAAAGGCAATAATTTTGAACGCGTCGTTAAACCCCGTTCCACATCACCTCACCTTCTTTAAATTATGCAATGTGAAATCATAAATCTCTCTAAAAAAATAACATACAATATCCCTGTACCAATGTTTCATCAGATATTGGTGGTGTCGTTCACATTTATTTACATGCTGTCAATTTCATATAATCGGGGTTTCCAAACGTTGCATGGAAGTTGAGGATGTGTAAAAGTAAGGACGCGTAGGTACACGTCTCCAGGGATGTGAAATAGTCACTTAGCCTGGGAACATATAAATCTGGTTTTCAAAAACAAAATGGGGAATATCTAATAAGCAGTGCATAATTACTTTCCACTTATATACACTATTATCTGACTGTGATTAATTGCCCCATCGAACAACAAGATGTTCTTGATCTGGAGAAGTGTAAACAACATTTAACAACAAAATTTCGATTTTAACATTCTGATTCATTAAATCATATTTCGTACACGTATGCCCTTGTTACATGTATTTGGTATGTATTTGGTAAGTTGGTTATACAATACGTTCTGTTTGTCCTTGATGTATCCCAAGAACCTAGTAAAGCTCCTCTGATTAGACATTGATTCATCGTCCTCTTTTTTAGAGCACAATGGATGACACACTACGACTGATACTTGTTGGTAAAACTGGGAGTGGTAAAAGTGCAACAGGAAATACCATACTTGGAAAACCAATGTTTGAATCCGCTACAAGGGCTATCAGTGTGACAAGGAACTTTCAAAAAGAAAAATGTGTTCGTCTTGACAGAGACATAGAGGTCTTGGACACACCACACATTTACGGGGAAACACCAAATATCTATCTGAATAAAAACATGAGTAATGCTCCTCATGCCATACTCCTTGTGACGCAAGTTGGGCAAACCGACGAAACAACGGCAGACATGATAACCAATATGATGAAGGTGTTTGGCGTCAACATTGAGAACTATTTGGTTTTTGTGTTTACTAGATCAAATGATATGTTCTCATACGGTATGTCACCTGATTTATTCATTCAACAGTTGCCTACTTCTATTAAGAACATAGTGAGGAAACGTCCGTGTGTATTTTTGGACAATGAATCTTCAATCTCGGAAAAAGAGGAAAGGGTTCAAGAACTCTTGTCTGCAATAGAGGACATGACACGTCGAAATCTCCCGGAACATTTTCTGTTCAGACGGCATTACTATCTTCGACCAAGAGTTTAAATACAACCAGTTGTGGAAAATACAAAGTTGAACAGAACTGGAAAATCCTACAAGGATACTTCATTTACTTGGGACACTAATTTCAACCATTTCAACTTATCCTGTAGAGTAGTCCAAAGGTCACGTTACAGATGCACTTAAAACAAAAGAAAACAGTGTAATGTACGATTCCGACTATATCTTTGAGCATGTGTTTGAATCAAATAGTCAAGATACCAGATGTTCGAGAAAAAGTGTATCCTGCCCCATTGGTACCACCCGTCATAAACACATGCAAAGTCAAGTCACCCGTAACGGAAAAGTCACCTGACTAACAAGTGTTTATAATGGATAAGGTACAAAATAGGTATGAATTATTATGTGAAATATACTCTTCCAGACATTTGGTCATGAATTTAAAACCATTTATCTTATATGTTTATGTTACTTGAAACAATAAGGGATGCTGCCCTCACATTGCATACAGATTTCTACATTCATTTGGCGCATGAATTCTTCCGTGGATTCTTTGTCCTCTTCATTGATGATTAGAGATAACTTATATTTTTTTCACTGATGGTGTCCTGACAGTTGAATATTTCTAGGGTGTCTTCAACAATGTTTCGCAGTATATTCTTCAACCAGTTTGGCAGTGTTATCTTCAGTAGTTTTTGGCGGCATAATCTTCAAATTTGTTCTGGATCAAGCTTCTTACCAGGTTGCTGCTGATTGGTCACATAATGAGTCATAAGTGAATCACTCGCCCCAACCATCTCCGATTGGTTGTAGAAGTTTATCTGGCAAATTCGAAGTATATTCCATTCTGAGCACATGTTTTATTTCCATCACATGCCAACATAACTAATACTCAGACTGGAAAAGCAAGAAGAGGCTTAGTGATGGTAATGTGAAAATATGAGTACAAGAGAAAGGCAAGGAAGAACTTTGATGTAGCATTTGACACAGAAGCAGAAAAACTTTCATTTGAGATGAAGTTTCAACAAGCGAAGAACAAATTTCCTGGTAAAGGAATGACTTTTGTGATGAATATTTTGCTTGATAACTATTTGTCACAAGAAACCATGACGAAATAACAAAAAGATCTTTCAACAGTGGCAGATAAATGTGAAGATAAAGAACTGTTCTTGTGTACCAAAACACAGTTGTTTGAATTAGATCGTTTATCACAAGTTCATGGTCCACTGGAACCAACTGAATTCGAGCGAGTTGGACATACAGGGAGGCTTATTCTTCAACCAGTTTTAAAATCATCCCATTCTTTCCTGTTTTGGCATTCTTTACCTACGCTAGCTCACGACTAGTGGCTGAACTATCATCTCATCCATGCATATATGCTCCCTGTACAATATGAACGGTTCTGCCAATTTGCCAATATCGATTAATGGTAAAACGATTAATGGCAAGGAGCGTTCCTGTGTATGAAGAAACTGTTTAACAACTTCGAGATGAGAAGATTCAACAGGTCCTTGATGGAGAAACAGTTATCATTAATTGTGGAAAGAAAAGGTGATATAATATATATAATTATTTCGTGATTAATGTATATTAGTTATTTGATTAGCATTTGCACTTTGACTGGATATATTATTATTATGCAGTTTCAGTATTATCAAATTTGCTCCGTAGCAGTCCGTAGCGGCCATGGTCCGTAGCAGTCCGTAGCGGCCATTGTCCGGAGCTGCCATGGTCCGTAGCAGTCCGTAGCGCCATTGTCCGGAGCAGCCATGGTCCGTAGCAGACCGTACCGACCATGGTCCTTAGCAGTCCGTAGTGGCCATGGTCCGTAGCAGTCCGTAGCGGTCATTGGGCCGTAGCAGCCATGGTCCGTAGCAGTCCGTAGCAGCCATGGTCCCTAACAGTCCGTAGCAGCCATGGTCCCTAACAGTCCGTAGCGGCCATGGTTCGTAGCAGACTTGGTCCGTAGCAGTCCGTAGCGGCCATGGTCCGTAGCAGTCCGTAGCAGCCATGGTCCGTAGCAGTCCGTAGCAGCCATGGTCCCTAACAGTCCGTAGCGGCCATGGTTCGTAGCAGACTTGGTCCGTAGCAGTCCGTAGCGGCCATGGTCTGTAGTAGTCCGCATCAGCCATGGTCCGTAGCAGTCCGTAGCGGCCATGGTCCGTAGCAGTCCGTAGCAGCCATGGTCCGTAGCAGCCATGGTCCGTAGCAGTCCGTAGCGGCCATGGTCCGTAGTCGTCCGCATCAGCCATGGTCCGTAGCAGTCCGTACCGGCTATTGTCCGTAGCAGCCATATGTACAATATGCAGCAATAAAACATGTTCACCACTAATTAACTGCAATATGGTCCACAAGTAGTTTGAGAACAATACCCGTCTTGTTATCTTTCTCAGTGCAAGGGAGTGTCTTTGTTCCGTATGTGTACCAGGGCGTCTGTAGCGACCAGAATTGGCATACGACCAGAACTGGGATAATTTACTGCGGAAATGCTTTCGGTTAGCTCGAAAACGTATGGCGATATATATGCTGAATATGATTTAGTTTATGTTATTTTGGGGGACCATACTGAATATGATCTTTTGTATATTTTCATGTTCCGTTCCCAATAAATAACTCACATTAAATTCTTCACTATAAATTGGAAACATCTTGAGTGTTTTGGTATTTTGTACTTGTCAAATATTCACACGCCTTTATGTGCGGCAATTCACATTCATGCACAAATGTCACTGTATATGTACGATATTTCTTTTCACAAATTATGCTACTTGTTTGAGGTGACTTAGTTCAGTTGTTAGATGTTGCTTCGTGGAACAGATGTTGTGAGCTCGTCTTGCTAGGGTTGAAACAAGGGGAGCTGGCCATGGTCCGTAGCAGTCCGTAGTGGCCATGGTCCGTAGCAGTCTGTAGCGGTCATGGTCTGTAGCAGTCCGTAGCGGTCATGGTCCGTAGCAGCCATGGTCCGTAGCAGTCCGTAGCACTCATGGTCCGTAGCAGTCCGTAGCGGCCATGGTCCGTAGCAGTCCGTATCAGCCATGGTCCGTAGCAGTCCGTAGCGGCCATGGTTCGTAGCAGACTTGGTCCGTAGCGGCCATGGTCCGTAGCAGTCCGTAGCGGCCATGGTCCGCAGCAGTCCGTATCAGCCATGGTCCGTAGCAGTCCGTAGTGGCCATGGTCCGTAGCAGTCCGTAGCGGCCATTGTCCGTAGCAGTCCGTAGCGGCCATGGTCCGTATCTGCCATTGTCCATAGCAGTCCGTACCAGCCATGGTCCGTAGC